GGAGACTTTACTTTTGTTCTTTCTTGCTTAGTTGTTCCCTTAAATCTGAAATAAAAGCTCTTTCTGGCTGCAATTACCTGTTTGCGCGTTGTGTATGGGAAACGGGACAGATGTAATCAGCTCTGATATATCAGAGGAAAGAGGAATCTTTATTATTATTTTGTATTACAGCACCATAGCTATGCATAGAACAAACAAAAAAACACAGCTTCTACCCCAGGCTCTTACAATCAGAGAAGAGTAGGGCACATGATCTCATTCCAAAGGCCCCTACAGGGGTCCTTTGCTGGACTCTGAACCCCATCCCAGGGGTTGCACAGATAGTTAGATAAAATGCAGCATGACACAGTGAGAAGGGAGGGAGGCAAGGTGGGGTAGGAACGGGAAGGAGATGTGCACAGGCTGTTAGGTTATCTGGTGTCACAAGTCACGCTGTGTTAATCCCATTTCTTTATCTATATATTATTTATATATGTAAAGCCTGATTTCCAGAGCACCCATGATCTCAGCTGAAGTCAATGGCAGCTGTGGGTTCTGCGCAAGGAAACCGCGTCTTCACGTGGCCCATCACTGTTGAAGGCTTTCAACAAGAAGAGCTGTTGCAGTTGTCCAGGTTTAGATTTTCCAGAACGGCCCTCGTCAGCAGTTACCTAGAGAAAGTAAAGAGAGAGGACCCCTTCCTAGCTGTGATAATATTTTGGACCACCATATGGTCAAGAAAATGGCAAACGCCACTTTGATTCCCCCATGTTGGCCCTACCACCACCCATGTTTCATTTCTCACCCGTCCTTCCCAATTCCACTACAAATTTATAAAGGAAGTTTGGGAACCAGATTTCATTCTTCACCTACGCACTTGGGGTGGCTGGGTGGTGTTAGTGGCCTGAGAGATACAGGAGGGCAGGCCCTTCTGGCCTTGAACTCTGTGACTTCATATGCACTTCAGAGTGGGGCGAGGGGCCAACTGGACAGCACAACAGACTGTCCCAGTCCTCATTCCAGGCCTGGTCCAGATCCCATTCAGGCAATGGAAAGACTCCCATTGACTTTGGTGGGCTTTGATCAGCCCCTTGCAGAGCATGGTTCTGCAGCTGCTGTCAGAATGGCCTCCTTGGAAGTTGGATTATTGGTTCTCTTCCTGTACCGAGCAAACATTTCTCCCCGGGCATAGATCCCTGTTGCTCTAGTGACTTCAATGGAGTGGTACCGATTTACAGCAGCTGGAAATCCAACCCCTTGTCCGGGAATTCCATGCCCAGCTTTGGGGCTGTGTAAATGATGATGACAGGTTCACCTCCCTGCTTCCGATCCACTATCTTCCAAACTCCAGTAGGACTTGCTTGCCTCTCCATTCGGCCCTTTGCTCCTTCCTTCACCACTAGCTCATTTAGCTCCTTCCAACCATGCCCTCAGCCCAATTGGGTTTTTAAATCGTAGAACGCCTTACCTCTCTGCTGCTTATGGATCCGGCAATGCAATCAGTGATTTTAACATATTACCGCCAATAACCCTTGTCGCTCAACCCCTATCTCCCACAAGGTCCCGCAAACGCCCTGTGCTTTACAAGCTAATGAGAGAAGAGGCAACATACTCTGGTGGTGCTCAGAAGAAAGCTCTAGTTGGCAACACTCTTCTCGTCGGGTGGAGCTAACTGCTCACCTGGCAGAGACTCAACCCCCCTCAGCAGTATTCTGGCTAAAATCCAATAGCTGGGCTTTCCGAAAGTGACTAGTGAAGTTCCTCAGTATTTGTGTGCTCAGCTTGAGCTGCCTAATTCTCAGAAGGTAGGGGCTCAGGAGGCACCAAAAAACTTGTGCATCTGTTATTCCAGAGGCCGGGCCCAGATCCACAAAGGTATTTAGGCACTGAACTACCATTGATTCAATGGGAATCAGGGCCCCCAGCTGTCTCTGAGGATCTGGGCTCAAGTGCCTAATTTAGTGACGACAAGCCCTTTGAAATTCCACAGTCGATCTCAGCTAGGGGAATCCAATCAACGAAGGCCATCTCTCCAGCACAAGCGTACAGCGGCCCATTGTACCGACACAGCTGTGCCGCGGTAAGAGCGCGCGCGTAGCCGCGTTATGTTGACGGGAGAGCGCTCTCCTGTCGACATACAAAACCAGCTCAGCGAGCGGCGGGAGCTATGTCAGCGGGAGGGCGTCTCCTGCCAGCATAGCACTGTGCACACAAGCGCTTATGCCAGCAAAACATGTTGCTCCTGGGGTGTGGGGTTTTTTCCCCCCCACCCGTGAGTGACAAAAGTTTTGCCGACATAAGTACTAGTGTAGACATAGCCTAAATTTCATTGTTTTTCTTTCTGATTTGGGGGGTTTTTTTGGGCGGGGTTACAAAGTGGCAATAAAAGGTTAGAAGAAGTTTATAGGAAGACTTAGAACTATTTAACATCTCTATTGTAGGGTGTTGTTGTTCAAGAACCCCTTGTCCGAATCAATTCAAATTTCGCAAAACAAAAGTTCTACTTTGGCACTAGATCTAACCAGTCAATAAGGCAGCTGATATGACTGTTCTTGTAGCATATATTTGGGGAGGGCAAAATAGGTTGTAAAAGAGGAACCCAGTTTCAATTTTAACCCTGGCTTAGCAACTCCCACTGATTGATTTTGCTTGTTAGAACTTATTCGTCTACACACATACAGAGATATATGCAAGCTACATGACTTACCCAAGGTCAAACAGCGAATCAGTGGTTGAACTGGGAACAGAACTCAGGTGTCCTAGCTACTTGTCAACTAAGGGACACTGGAGTCAGATCCTCAGCTGGGGTAAATCAGAATAAGTCTAACTGGAGTCTTTGGCATGATCAGATTTACGCCAGCTGAGAATCAGTTTTTCCGTCAACGTAGCTGAACTCAAGGAACAATCCTGGGGAAGACAAGGCAGTGCATAGTTTTAACAGACATGACCTGGTCGAGTTATGGACTCTGTGGCACGCCTTGTCTTGACTCAGCTACTAGCTTGAATGAAGAGCACACCCTTCTTTTCGGATGAAGACAGGGCCTTCGTGGCTAATGCTGTTGTGAAATCCTCATACAAGTCGTTCTCACCTGTCTGTGAGAGAACGTGACATGTTCATGTGAAGTTTGCATGGCACAGGATGCCGTGATGTGATCTCAGCAACTGAGCCCGGGGATCCAGGCATCTCCTGGCTCTTTGGAGCAGGCAGAGCTACCACTAAAAGCCAACAGAGGTGAAACAAACAAATACAATCCTTAAATAACAAGTGGTCAATAAAGGCAAATTCAATTAAGAGGAAACTCAAATATCTGCTCTTCCTTAGCATGCAAAAAGAAAAGGCGTTCTTGTGGCACCTTAGAGACTAACAAGTTTATCTGAGCATAAGCTTTCGTGAGCTACAGCCCACTTCATCAGATGCATACCATGGAAAATACAGTGGGGAGATTTTATATACACAGAGAACATGAAACAAGGGTGTTACCATACACACTATAACAAGAATGATCAGATAAGGTGAGCTATTTCCAGCAAGAGAGAAAAAAAACCTTACGTAGTGATAATCAAGGTGGGCCATTTCCAGCAATTGACAAGAACGTGTGAGGAACGGGGGGGGGGGATAAACATGGGGAAATAGTTTTACTTTGTGTAAAAACACATCCACTCCCAGTCTTCATTCAAGCCTAATGTAATGGTGTCCAGTTTGCAAATGAATTCCAATTCAGCAGTCTCTCATTGGAGTCTGTTTTTGAAGTTTTTTTGTTGAAATATTACGACTTTTAGGTCTGTAATCGAGTGGCCAGAGAGACTGAAGGGTTCTCCGACTGATTTTTGAATATTATAATTCCTGACATCTGATTTGTGTCCATTTATTCTTTTACGTAGAGACTATCCGGTTTGGCCAATCAGGGGACACCATCATAGGGCCTAATCACATCAGCCACACTATCAGAGGCTCGTTCGCCTGCACATCTACCAATGTGATATATGCCATCATGTGCCAGCAATGCCCCTCTGCCATGTGCATTGGCCAAACAATTAACTTAGGCTTGAATAAAGACTGGGAGTGGATGTGCCCCAAGTCCTCCTGTTCTTTTTGTGGATACAGACTAACATGGCTGCTACTCTGAAACCTCTTATTAGTATGGGTCAGTGCCAAGGGCAGAGGGATAGAGCTGCAGACCAGCCACTGACCATGTTCCTCTCGCAAAGACCCCTCTGGGGTTGCTGCTGGGCGTGGCTCCCAGTGCACACCTATAATGCTACATAAGTAATGAGTAATCATCGTATAACCATCTCTGCCCAGAGGGAGTGAGAAAGAAGCCGGACCCTCCGAGATATTGGCTTGAGTCGGCCCATGGGGCAGAAGGGAAGGAGCCGTGTGTCTGATGATGTTTCACACACAACCGGCTCAGCAAGATGCACCAGCAACGGTCACTTTAGTGAATATGGCCTTCGCTCTCTCCCATAGGTGCTGACTTTTATTTTTCCGGGGGGGTTGCCCCACAAACCTCTCTGCCCCGAGGCTCCGCCCCCTCCCTCAAGGCTCCGCCCTCGCTCTGCCTCTTCCCACACCCCCGCCCCCCCCCACCTCCTCCCTGAGGCCCTCGCTGCTTGCTGCCCTCCCCCAAGCCGCTCCCTGAGCCACCAAACAGCTATGGCTGGTGGATGCTAAGCACCCACTAATATTTTTTCTGTGGGTGCTCTGGCCCTGAGCACCCACAGAGTTGACAGCTATGCTCCCTCCCCTTCGTGATGTTCTCACCGCGTTCCTGATGGGTTTGCAAAGGAGGTACTCCATGTCCTTTCACTTTCTGCAGCATGCCACAATGATCTCAGTGTAATGTTACTCGGCTAGTGAAAACCAACAGGAGAGAAGAAATACAGATCCTCTACCTTTGTCACAGTGCACAGGTGTCTGCTGCGGTATTTTCTTGTCCGTTCCATTTACTGTCCAGTTCTCCCCTATTGATAATTACAAGAGTTACGTGTTCACAAATAATCACATGAACTTGGGTGATGTGTAATGACCTGGGATTGTGCAAAAGATCCTAGTGATGCTTTGTGAGACAGAGCAAGCTAGGAATTCCTAACTCACATAGACCTCCCAATCTTTGTAACACTTACTTTGCCTCTGTAAGAAGAAAATGGCATCGTGATATCCTTGTAAATAAAACTCGCGTAGCACCTGCAGGGGAAACCACTCAGCGTTATAAAGGAGAGTCATTCTAATTGCAAAAAAAGTGCCCCTGAGGGCAGTAATCACAGTGTTGCCAACCCTTGCCATTTCTTTGTGCATCTCACAATATTTGGTGTTTTTCTTAAAGCACCAGCTACTGGAGTCATGTGGGTTTTTTATTTTATTTATTTATTTTTGGTGAGCATCTCTGACTTCGTTAAAAAAAAAACACTGCTGTGGAGTAAAGCCTGCACATTTGAATTCTACAGGCTGAAACATCAGAAGGCCAAGAGAACCTACCCAGAATTTTTTCCTAAGGCGCGTGATTTTTAAGCAATCTCGTGATTTGGGCTGGGGGATGATTTATGATCCTCACATGCTTGGGGTTGGCCATACCGAAATGATCTGTCACTGTGCAGTCCCTGGGGCTACTCACCGGAGGACTGGGTGGGAAAATACTGTAACTAAACCTGCTTAGGTTCTCAGCTGAGAGCAGGAAGGTGCTTCGGAAGACGCTAATGCAGTTGAAATAGGTCGGGCAGTCCCTCGGGCAGATGTCGACCTCTCCTGTGTAAGGGGATACCGTGATCATGGTTTCCGAGTCCGAGCCAGGCTGCATGTTCGTCATACCTCCATCAATGTAGCGCTGAGAAGACATGCGGTTTGAATCAGATAATGGTTCATCTTCGGTGTGTATCACATCATGCTTATCTCATGTGCACGCCTTAACAAGAGAGCCAAATCCCATTAGGAAGTCCAGATCACAACTTAGGCACGTAAAATGGGAACTGTGGGGCCCGGTTCTCATTTACATTAAGGCCATTCAACACTGGAGTGCAAATCACATTGAAGTCCATTTTAAGGCCCTTTTACGCTGTCTTAGTGCAAATGAGAATCAAGGCCTTATGTAGCTAATGCCATTGAATGAAGGGGTGGTCTTGTGGTTAAGGCAGCAGATTGGGAGTAAAGAGGGAGTGGATCCTCAGTTCAAGTAAATCAGCACAGGTCCATTGCATTTACTAGAGCTATTCCAATTCACACCAGGTGAGAACATGGTCCCTAGATTCTAGATGCTATTGTGTAGATCTGGGTTCAGGACGGGCCCTTATATGCATACTGCAGATGAATATTAACTTGTGCCAGCTGGGGCACATGACAGTGATAATGGCTCAAGCAAACACTTGCAACCTGGAGGGATCCATATGCTCAGAGCTTAACTCAACTCGCTGGTTTCGTTTGCACTTTTGCCTCCTCCACAGTTCCCAGCCAACCTGAAACTTGCACCAAAACTCAAGGGGTGTGAAGTCCCATGGACTGAAACTGACAAAAATGCTTCTTGGAATAATAACCCACTAGGACCCTGTCATAAACATACAGCTAAGGTAGCATAAAATCCCTTTTACCTGTAAAGGGTTAAGAAGCTCAGATAACCTGGTTGGTACCTGACCAAAAGGATCAATAAGGGGAGAAGATACTTTCAGATCTGTGGGGGAAGGTTTTTGTTTTGTGCTTCTTTGTGTTCTCTCTGGGTCAGTGAGGAACCAGGGCAGGGAAAATACATCTCCTAAAGCCATACTTGAACTAAGCATCTAAGCTTACAAATTGTAAGGAAATGCGTTAGATTATTTTTTGGTTTAGCTTGTGAATTTTCCTTGTGCTAAGAGGGAGGTTTATCCCTGTTTTTTGTAACTTTGAAGTTTTGCCTAGAGGGGAATCCTCTATGTTTTAATCTTATTACTCTGTAAAATTACCTTCCATTCTGATTTTACAGAGGTGTTTCTTTTATTTTTTTCCTTTATAATAAAGTTCTGTTTTTTAAGAATCTGATTGCTTTTTAGTGTCCTAAAAACCTAAGGGTCTGGTCTGTGCTCACCTTGTGTACCTATCTGGTGGGTAGATTATTCTCAAGCCTCCCCAGGAAAGGGGGTGAAGGGGCTTGGGGGAATATTTTGGGGAAACAGGAACTCCAAGTGGTCCTTTTCCTGAATCTTTGTCTAACTCCCTTGGCAGTGGGCAGCAGTACCCATCCAAGGACAGGGAAGGATTTGTGCCTTGGGGAAGTTTTTAACCTAAGCTGGTAGAAATAAGCTTAGGGGGTCTTTCATGCAGGTCCCCACATCTGTACCTCAGAGTTCAGAGTGGGGAGGGAATCCTGACAGACCCCAGGCAGCAAGGGCTGCACACCACAGCTGCGTGCCTGAGATCCATGTCAGCCCAGATTCTGGTGAGATCAGAACATTTTCCGCCTGGAGCATTGGCAAAGAGCACTCACCATGCCTTGGAAGGAGGGAGGGTTGAATCCACAATAGACAGGAAGGAAGCAGCTACAGATCACTGCCTGTGGGGAGAGAGGCAGAGGGTTACAGGTGAGTAGAGAGAAATATTTTAGAGGTGCATCATCAGCCAGGAAATAATGTTTCCCTCTGAAAATGCTGCACCTATTGTTACAAGTAACACCTCAGACTGACACGATGGGGCAAGCGTAGAGGGGGAAAAACCTGGTTGTCTTTATTTCAGTGTGTTGATGCTGTGCCGTTGCCAGCAGCTTGTGTACAAGACTCTTTGGCTACTCTGCGGTTGGTTAGTTGCACTTCCCAGCTGAGGTAGGGCAACGGACCAGCTGAGGTGGGGGCTATTCTCATCTCTGTCACTGACTTGTTATGGGACCTTGTGCAAGTCACTTCCTCTCCCTGTACTTCACTTTTTCCATCTGTAAACTGGGCACAATGATGCTTTTCTTCCATACGGGGCCAGCTCTTCTACACACAATGGCCGACGCATTGTCGCAACTGATTCAGATGAGGACTGAATTCCAAGAGCCTATTAAAGGTTTGATTCCCATTGTGCTGCCTGAGGGGAGAATTCCAGAGAAACTGATGGTGAATCCAGCCGGACAGCTCTGTAAATTGGTAGGTCAGAGCAGAACTGGCATTTTCACTCCTGGGCACGGACCATGCAACGGGCAGAGTCAAGCACTATGGGTTAATTTGTATGTGGCCACTGTCTCCGTATCCAAATGACCGCTGGATAAATAAGCCAACAAGAGTTAGAGCTGATGGAATATTTTGCTTATAACTTGATGCTCAGCTGGGGGTGGAGCCTCTGTGGAATCGGACCGAGTTGGAATTCTCCCTTCGTAGCCTGCACCTGCAGTTTGAATTAGGCTCAACATGAGTCCTCTCTCCCTAATAAACTCAGTTGCTGTTTCCCAAGCTCATCATCAGTTTAATGACTTCCCCCTCTTCTGAATACATAGGAAACAAAGCCACCATTACCTGTACGACCTCCTCCTTCGATCTGTACTCTGAAATGACGACGTTCTGTAAGTCCGACACACGCGTGAGGGAAATGCAAAGCTTCCCCGAAGCCAGCTGGTGTGAGTTCTCCGGCAGCATTTGACTCATCCCCTTCTCTATGATCCGAAGCATACGGTGACCTGGACAAAGGGTGAGAATGCTCACTTTCCTGGCTTCTTCCACAGCTTCATGAAAAAATTCTTCTATCCGACCTGGGAGGGAGTAACCAATCACAATCACCAGCGTTTATAGACAGAAAGGAACACATTCTCTCCCGTCCCAATGCTATACTATGCTATACTGTGATGAATGTTGGATGAGAATGTTGTTACTTGTCTTGTGGTAGTACCTAGAATTCCCTGTCAAAGGTTCCACAGTGCTAAGGGTTGTACACGCAAGTAATGAAATGGTCCCTGTTCCAATATACTTATTGCCTAAGATTAAGAGAATCAAGGGGAGCTTTGTTGTACGCATATAGAATTTGGCTCATGGTACCTTACAGTTAACTTTAGCCTCCATTTAATTGGATCAGAACCCCAGGAACACAAATATTTGTGTTAAGAGAGCCTAAGTATTTACACAGGCTCAATGTGTCTAGTGAGTCAAAATGTGCCAAACAAATAATAGAGAGTCCCATCTGTGAAAAGAAAAGGAGTACTTGTGGCACCTTAGAGACTAACAAATTTATCTGAGCATAAGCTTTCATGAGCTACAGCACACTTAGAATCATAGAATATCAGGGTTGGAAGGGACCTCAGGAGGTCATCTAGTCCAACCCCCTGCTCAAAAGCAGGACCAATCCCCAATTAAATCATCCCAGCCAGGGCTTTGTCAAGCCTGACCTTAAAAACTTCTAAGGAAGGAGATTCTACCACCTCCCTAGGCAACGCATTCCAGTGTTTCACCACCCTCCTAGTGAAAAAGTTTTACCTAATATCCAACCTAAACCTCCCCCACTGCAACTTGAGACCATTACTCCTTGTCCTGTCCTCTTCTACCATTGAGAACAGTCTAGAACCATCCTCTCTGGAACCACCTCTCAGGTAGTTGAAAGCAGCTATCAAATCCCCCCTCATTCTTCTCTTCTGCAGACTAAACAATCCCAGTTCCCTCAGCCTCTCCTCAAAAGTCATGTGTTCCAGACCCCTAATCATTTTTGTTGCCCTTCGCTGGACTCTTTCCAATTTATCCACATCCTTCTTGTAGTGTGGGGCCCAAAACTGGACACAGTACTCCAGATGAGGCCTCACCAATGTTGAATAGAGGAGGACGATCACATCCCTCGATCTGCTCGCTATGCCCCTACGTATACATCCCAAAATGCCATTGGCTTCTTGGCAACAAGGGCACACTGCTGACTCATATCCAGCTTCTCGTCCACTGTCACCCCTAGGTCCTTTTCCGCAGAGCTGCTGCCTAGCCATTCGGTCCCTAGTCTGTAGCTGTGCATTGGGTTCTTCCGTCCTAACTTCATCGGATGCATTCAGTGAAGTGAGCTGTAGCTCACGAAAGCTCATGCTCAAATAAATTTGTTAGTCTCTAAGGTGCCACAAGTACTCCTTTTCTTTTTGTGAATACAGACTAACATGGCTACTACTCTGAAACCCATCTGTGAAGCCATCCCTAATGATGTGCTAAGCAATATCCATTATTATTATTTTATTTATTATCAAGGACCTGATCAGATTATCGGCGAGCACCCTAAATAAGGCATTTGCAATCCAATCTGGCCCACAATCTGGGCTGTAAGCATTTTATTTAGGGTGTAGCCCAGGGAGCAGGTTCACAGTCTGTGACCTTGTAATAGTCACAATTAATAATCCCCGACGGATGTTACTTTACACGCCATTGGTAATATCTTCAGGGCTGATGCTCTCCATTATATGTTAGGCACATCTGGATTCATTGTAGCCTATGGTGATGTATAAATAATTAGCAATATAAAGTGATCTCAACCAGCACTGGGTTCTGTGTAAAAACTGTTTCCAAGAAGAATCTCAAAGCATATCTTCTCCACGGTTGCAAAAGAAAGAGCTGTGAATCTGGGCTTCCCCAGTGAGTCCTGCAGGGGAGTTGGGTGGAACGGTGTAATAAATATCAGGAGTCAGAGAGAAAACAAAAATCAAACAATCTGTCAGGGGGTAAGAAACTTTTCTCCCCAGCAGTTGCTATTTAGCTGACAGTTGCATTTTCACAAGAAAGCATTAAGGCCATAAGGACATAAGAACGGCCATACTGGGTCAGACCAAAGGTCCATCTAGCCCAGTACCCTTTCTTCTGACAGTGGCCAATGCCAGGTGTCCCAGAGGGGATAAAAAGAACAGGTGATCATCAAGTGATCCATCCCTTGTGGCCTATTCCCAGCTTCTGGCAAACAGGGGCTAGGGACACCATCCCCGCCCATCCTGGCTAATAGCCATTGATGGACCTGTCCTCCATGAACTTATCTAGTTCTTTTTTGAACCCTGTTATAGTCTTGGCCTTCACAGCATCCTCTGGCAAGGAGTTCCACAGGTTGACTGTGTGTTGTGTGAAGAAACACTTCCTTTTGTTTGTTTTAAACCTGCTGCCTATTAATTTCATTTGGTGACCCCTAGTTCTTGTGTTATGAGAAGGAGTAAATAACACTTCCTTATTTACTTTCTCCACACCTGTCATGATTTTGTAGAACTCTATCATATCCCCCCTTAGCCATCTCTTTTTCAAGCTGAAAAGTCCCAGTCTTACTAATCTTTCCTCATATGGCAGCCGTTCCATACCCCTAATAATTTTTGTTGCCCTTTTCTGAACCTTTACCAATTCCAATAGATCTTTTTTGCGATGGGGCAACCACATCTGATTCAAAGCACTCTGAAGTGAATGGAAAGACTTCAGAGGGCTTTAGCTCAATCGTAAATTGGCAGCAATCTCAATGTTGTAGATTTCACCTCAGGAGCAGAATCTAAATATTGCATCGTAGACGATGACTTTTGTAACTGAAGACGCTTGCACATGTTGTTACTAGATTGTACCTAACACTCCCCAGTGTGTTTCACCCACACACAACATCACAAGACAAGTCCCTGGATTTGGTCCAACCTTACATCTCACCAACCAAACTTCCTTTCAAAACCACGTTGGCTTGCATAAGGGCAAGCCCCCCTCACACTCATCTCTAAAAGAAAGGAATTGATGAGTTAAGAGAAACATCTTCCCCCTATTGTATCCCAACAACGTGCAGAGCACGCAGACTCAGCGCCACCCCCAGACACAGAGAGACGCTCCGTTCCCTTGTCCATCCGCCTTGTGCTGCAATGCCAGGACCTTATCTCTGACTCCTCAGCAACATTAGCAGGTTGGCATAGGTGCACTGGGTAAGTATGTTCGTGGCCCATTGGCAGGGAGACCTGGTCTGATGAGCTCCAGGATACTTATCAAACCATTTCTGCGGGGAGGAAAAGGAAGTAAGATCCCTGGGCTAAAAGAGGTATGCATGAGGGATGCAGAAATATGCCTGTTATGGCCCACCCAATCCTCATTTATCTTTCTACCGTCTTCGTACACATTGTTCCTTGATCCAGACCCCCTCCAGTCTTCTATTTAGGGCTCCTGTCCCCCATTGCCTCTGTCAGAGTTCAGGGCAACTGCATTTGTATTCCCCTCCTTGGTCCACCAACGGCACCCTCTCTGTGCTCCCAGCAACTCAGCCATCATCTCTTGTGGGTAGAGACTTGTGTCTCTCTCCCTCTTGACCAGAGTTTTTCCAAGCTGCACAGTTCCCTGCCCTGTGATATCCCCAGCAAGCCAGACTGCCTAAACAGCCCAATGTGCTTTGCTGTCTCTTTGACGGTTAGGAACAGCTGTAACTGGCAGCAGTGAAAAGTGACCACACAGCCCTTTGTAAGCAAGCACATTTATTCTTAACATGAAAGCATTCCAGAGGAAACCTATTAAAACAATAAAAGAACCTACGCTCATGCTAACAACGTTACCAGAGATCACCCCTCATTCCAGTGAGTGCTCTGGTAGGAGTCAGTCCTTCAAACCACACCAGGGGTTTTTCCAGTGGTTACAAGTTCATAACAACCTTAGCTCGAACTAGCACTCCCGTAAATAGTTCAATCTTTCCTTTATACAGCTTGGTCCTTTGATACTGAGACTCCAGGAGCTGCTGATCATCAGAAAATGATCCCCTCCTCAAAGTGTATGCTGGGCTTTTGCATATCCGGAAGTGGGGAATTTGCATTCACCTCCATCTAGAGATACCCCAGGAAAACCACTTGACCCTCTTTGCCCACAAAGTCCACTCTTGCCTAGTACATTGTTCAGTATCGTACTTTGAAGGTCATAACACTTCCCAATGTTCACATCCCATCTCCTCTCTGGAGGTAGGTGACATGGCCCACACAAGCCATTCGTTTAATACAACGGACCCCAAACATACTGAAACTTAATTCAATAAGGTCTCCCACGGATACTGGAGGAAATTCCATATCTGTCACAGCCTCCACTCTCGGTGGCTGCCCCCACCCCCTTCTCCCCTGATCAGGACACTGCTGGCAGAAACCAGATGTTTGTGGCAAAATGCCAGAGGTTTCTAGGTGTAACTCTCTGGAATTATGCCAAAGAGCAAGAGAAATAAAGACATAGGGAGCTTGACCAGAATAAGGCATTCCATAAGAGCCCTAAGTGTGGGCCAGGGAGAGCCAGAGAATGACTCAATACCTGGTGGGTAGCACATTCACCTGGGAGACCCACATTCCAGCCCCTACTCCACTGAATAGTTAAGTGTTTAGACAAAGCACAACCACTCCCTCAGGAGAGCACTCTGCCCCAGAACACACAACAGCTCAGTCATTAGGGCATCCACCTCGGAGGCCTGTGTTCAATTCAGGCTCCAGGTCAGGCAGAGTGGGGATTTGAACCTGGGTCTTCCACAGCCCGCTAAGTGCTCTAACCGCTGGGCGGTTGGGTAAGGGAGTGGGAGGCAACACCACCACCACCACTCATGCTCTCAGGGTGTCTCTGAGCATGCCTACCAGATTGGGTCCCACAGGCAAAACAGACAGCGAAACGCCTCGTCTGGGACTCCCGTTGGGGCTTAGATGTGAGTTCAGCACCGAGCTGCTCAGTCATGTCAGGGCTGAGGGGGCTGTGTGCGTGCCCAGCTGCAGACACTTAGGGGCCAGAGGTCTTTGGGTGGCAGCTGAACGGCGGTTGTGTGAATGCCCATGATGCCTAAATTTTGGACTGAGGCACGTTCATCCCTCTTGTGAGTAGCCCTAAGTCACTTGCCCAAGGATGTACAGGAATCTGTGACAGAACAGGGAATTAAATCAGCTTTCTTCAGCCCAAAGATAGTGTCCTAACCACTGGACTAGCCTTCCTCTCATATATACAAGTCGCTAGCCCCAGGCATGCCAGCAGGACCCAATAACACTCTTCAAATATGCTAAGGGCTGTTATAAAGAGGACCAGGATAGATTGTTCTCCATGTCCTCAAGGTAGGATAAGAAGTAATGGGCTTCATCTGCAGCATCAGAGATTTAGGTTAGATGTGAGGGAAAACTTTCTAACCATAAAGGAAGTTATGCTCTGGGACAAGCTTCCCAGGGAGGTTGTGGAATCCCCGTCGGTGGTGGTTTTTAAGAACAGGTTGGACAAACCCCTGTCAGGGCTGGTCTAGGTTTCCTTGGTCCTCCCTCAGCGCAGGGGGACGGACTAGATCCGTGTTTCTCAATCTTTTTGATACCAGGGACCATCTTCCTGCCTTCCTAAACGGTGACAGGGAGATCTCAGGGATCGGCACTGGTCCATGGAAGGAAACACCGGAGTAGATGACCTCTTGAGGTCCTTTCCCGCCTTCCATTTCTCTGATTCTCTGCCCATTGAAATACCCCCTAGAAGAAGCCATGTTTAAAAACACGCATCCGGAAGAAAGTAAATCGACACCTTCCTTACCAACGTCAACATCGCACGCCACTGCTGCAGCTACGACTGACCCGCACGATGTTCCGTAGACCTTGGATGCGGATCTCATTGTTTCAGGTGCCAATTCCCATAAAGCCTGCACCACTCCTACCTGGTAGTTTATAAGAAACCCACTCCCTGAAAAAGAGAGAGAGATTGGGCTTTCGGGCCCCTTTGGATCTTCTTCAGCCATTGCCAGCCACGCTGGGAGCTCAAACCTGCAGTTTGCAAAAGAACTTGTGGGGTGCCGAGCTTCTAGTCCGTGACAGAATGGCCTGCCCTTTGCTGACAAGCAGTGAGCACTGAGGTGTAGGCAGGGTTGGGTGGGGTCAGAAGACGCTTGGTGTTTTTATCTGATGCTATTCATCAACTCAGAGCAGTGGGATTGCTCCGTAGCACTTAGCACTCGGTAATTATGCCGGTTGCTTTCTTCATTGGTAATCACAGAGTACAAGCACCACACGAAACCTTATGAAAACGAAACATTTGCATTGGTTGTGCAAACATTAATGACCCCGGTAAGAAACTTCAAATGCATTTCCACCGAACCAGCACGGTTTCCTTATCCACTACAAGGGCATTATATACGTTAGACAGATGACTAGGGAGGAGTATAAAAATATTGCTTGAGTTTGCAGGGGTGTAATCAGGAAGGCCAAATCACAACTGGAGTTGCAGCTAGCAAGGGACGTGAAGGGTAACAAGAAGGGTTTCTTCAAGTATGTTAGCAACAAGAAAGTGGTCAGGGAAAGGGTGGGACCCTTAATGAATGGGGGACGCAACCTAGTGACAGAGGATGTGGAAAAAGCTGAAATACTCAATGCTTTTTTTGCTTCTGTCTTCACAGACAAGGTCAGCTCCCAGACTGCTACACTGGGCAGCACAGTATGGGGAGGAGTTGAGCAGCCCTCAGTGGTGAAAGAACAGGACTATTTAAGGACTATTTAGAAAAGCTGGATATGCACAAGTCCATGGGTCCAGACCTAATGCATCCGAGGGTGCTGAGGGAGTTGGCTGATGTGACTGCAGAGCCATTGGCCATTATCTTTGAAAACTCATGGTGATCAGAAAAGGAGGACTTGTGGCACCTTAGAGACAAATTTATCTGAGCATAAGCTTTCATGAGCTACAGCTCACTTCATCGGATGCATGCAGTGCAGTGAGCTGTAGCTCACGAAAGCTCATGCTCAAATAAATTGGTTAGTCTCTAAGGTGCCACAAGTCCTCCTTTTCTTTTTGCGAATACAGGCTAACATGGCTGTTACTCTGAAACCTGTCATTATGGTGATCAGAGGAGATCCCAGACGACTGGAAAAAGGTAGATATAGTGCCCTTCTTTAGAAAAGGGAAGAAGGAGACTCCGGGGAACTACAGACCAGTCAGCCTCACCTCAGTCCCCAGAAAAATCATGGAGTGGGTCCTCAAGGAATCCATTTTGAAGCAGCTTGGAGGAGAGGAAGGTGATCAGAAACAGTCAGCATTGATTCATCAAGCCTGACCAACCTGATTGCCTTCTATGAGGCGATAACTGACTCTGTGGATATGGGGAAAGCGGTGGACGTGATATACCTTGACTTTAGCAAAGCTTTTGATATGGTCTCCCACAGTATTCTTGCCAGCAAGTTAAAGAAGTTTGGGCTGGATGAATGGACTATAAGGTGGATAGAAAGTGGGCTAGATTGTCGGGCTCAATGGGTAGTGATCAACCGCTCGATGTCTAGTTGGTAGTCAATATCAAGTGGAGTGCCTCAGGGGTCGGTCCCGGGGCCGGTTTTTTTCAACATCTTCATTAATTATCTGGATGATGGGATAGATTGCACCCTCAGCAAGTTCGTGGATGACACTAAGCTGGGGGGAGAGGTAGATATGCTGGAGGGTAGGGACAGGGTCCAGAGTGACGTAGGCAAATTGGAGGTTTGGGCCAAAAGAAATCTGATGAGGTTCAACAAGGACAAGTGCAGAGTTCGGCATTTGGGATGGAAGAATCCCATGCACTGCTACAGGCTGGGGACTGACTGGCTAAGCAGCAGTTCTGCAGAAAAGGAATTGCGGATTACAGTGGACTAGAAGCTGGATATGAATCAGCAGTGTGCCCTTGTTGCCAAGAAGGCTAACGGCATATCAGGTTGTGTTCATAGGAGCATTGCCAGCTGATCGAGGGAAGTGATTATTCTCCTCTATTTGGCACTGGTGAAGCCACATCAGGAGTATTGCGTCCAGTTTTGGGCCCCCCACTACAGAAAAGATGTGGACCAATTGGAGAGAGTCCAGCGGAGGACAACGAAAAAGATTAGGGGGCTGGTGCGCATGACTTATGAGGAGAGACTGAGGGAACTGAGCTTATTTAATCTGCAGAAGAGAAGAGTAAGGGGGGATTTGATAGCTGCTTTCAACTACCTGAAGGGGGGTTCCAAAGGGGATGGAGCTCTGCTGGTCTCAGTGGTGGCAGACGACAGAACAAGGAGCCATGGTCTCAAGCTGCAGTGCGGGAGGTCTAGGTTGGATATTAGGAAACACTAGTTCACTAGGAGGGTGGTGAAGCACTGGAATGGGTTACCTAGGGAGGTGGTAGAATCTCCTTCCTTAGAGGTTTTTAAGGCCCGGCTTGACAAAGCCCTGGCTGGGATGATTTAGTTGGGGTTGGTCCTGCTTTGAGCAGTGGGTTGGACCAGATGACCTCCTGAGGTCCCTTCCAACCCTAATCTTCTGTGGTGCTATGATTATTCTTAAGAAACAGCAATTAAAATTTCTGTACCAGTAAATTCCACTGTCAGCTGATTAAATAGGTCAAGAGACAGAATTGCCTAATACAGGGGTTCTCAAACTTAATTGCTCCGCAGCCCGCCTCCGACAACAAAAATTACTACATGACCCCGGGGGCGGGACCGAACCTAAGGCTGCCTGAGCCCCGCTGCTGCAGGTGGTGAGGGAAAGCCCAAGGACTTCAGCCCCAGGCTGGGGTCCTGTAACTTGAGCCCCACCACCCAGGGCTGAAGCCTTTGGCCTTTGGCTTTGGCTTCAGCCCCAGCCCTGGGCGGTGGGGCTCAGGCTTTGGGCCCGGGCCCAGGCACGTCTAACTCCAGCCTTGGCAACCACATTAAAATGGGGTCCCGACCCACAGTTTGAGAACTGCTGGCCTATTAGATAGAAAGCATGATGGTTTGGGCAGGCCTGGTTTCTATTCCTAGCATTGCTGGTGACCTGGAGCAAGTCACATCAATGCGCCGTGCCTCAGTTTCCCCACCACAAAATGGGAATAATGGCTCTTCTCTCCTTTGTAAAGGGCTTTGCACTCTATGGATTGAAAGATATATGTATCTGTATATGAGCTTTCCCACTGAAATATATCCCTTGAAAGAAAATGTTTCGATATTGAAAAGCAGGTTGGAAAAAAAAGTCAATTTTTAAAACAATCAGTGGGTCAGAGTTAAGGTGATTGTGTTGCAGTGAAATGCATTTCTTTGTACTTATGAGAATTATGTGTTTATTGTGTGTTTGATCCTGCCCTTTTGAAGACTATGGGAGCTTTTCCACTGACTTAACAAAAGCAGGAACAGACCTAGTGCACGGTAACCATTGGGTTACGTGCATTATAAAAACACAGTAAAAGACATTCCCTGCCCCAGGGAGCTTAGGGTCAGATTTTTAAAGGTATTTAGCCACCTAAGATGCAGATCAGCACCTAGTGGGAGTTAGGTGCCTAGGGAGGTTTGAAAATTCAACTAGGCGCCTATTTACCTCTAAGGCACCTTAAATACCTTTAACAATCTGGCCCTTCTGTGCTAAACAGACAGGAGGTAGGAGGGGAAACTGAGGCATAGAGGGGGTGAAATGACTTGCCCGAGATCACCCAGAAGGTCCGTGGCAGAGGTGGGAATAGACCCCAGGCTGGCAGCCATTCATAGAGCAGCCCTGGAGTGTGGCAAAGCAGCGATTCAGCTCCTTAAACCAGGGTTTCCCCATCTTTCACTGGTGGAACCTCCTGGTCGGTGGATTTGCCCCTCCAACTACACCCCTTGTGTCTCATTGCTCCATGGCCTGGCATAGTTGCTACCCTACCTATTTTCTCTCGTGCGCATGTTTTCTGCCTCTGTTCCCTTTCCTTTCCTTTCTCCTCTGTGTTCCTTTGCATGCCGGTAGACCAGATGCTGCCCAGCATGCAGAGGGAAGTGTCTGCCCATGAGTGGCTCTCCCTGCACTGCATTCCTGGGGCTGACCAGGGCGCCATATGAGCAGAGAAAAGAAACTTGGACTGGTGAGCCCTGGACAGGAGCATCAGGGTCTACTGCAGGAGCAGGGAAGGCAGATACACGGGGATTGGGCACATCCTGTGTGGAGCAGCATTCTCCTCTCTCACGGTGCCTCTCCTGTGCCTTGCTCTCTCCCTGGACTAGTCTGTCACCTACCCCACCCCTGGTTGGGAAATACTAGTCTATGTTGCTGAAGGCCCAGGGTGCCTATTGAGCAGGGCGTAGCTAGTTCCAGCAGGACTGAACAAAGAGGACTCATGAAGGCAACTCCCTCTTTAACACAGGCTCAGAAGGTTTCCTTTCCAGGTCAACTCAATAGCTAAGCAATTCTCGTGTTCCTGTGGAACACGATTCCTCTGGTTTCATGGCTGAGCCGAGTCTATCACTTCTGAGGTCCCATTCCAGACAGTTTTAACAGAACCTATGTGCCTCAGTTTCCCTATCTGTGTAAAGGGGGGATAATGACAAGGGGCACTTTTGTAAAGGGCTTTGAGCTGTATGGATGAAAAGAGCTAGGCATTATTAATTTAAGATCTATGGCTGAAAAGAGCTAGGCATTATTAACTTGGGTGAAAGCCCCATCCTTTGGGATAATGAAGCCAGACAGCACACAGCCATAGAAAGGTAGGTGTGAGAAGCAGCCCTACGCACTCTGAGCACCACAGTAACCTCCCCAACTGGACGATTTCCTGCTGCTGCCATTATACCAGCAGACAGAGGGTGCCATAACCACAGGCTGAATCTCCCCCTTCTGTGTGATTTCATTGTTTATATTAAGTACTTCATGAAGCTGGACTCCCCTGATCGTTATTCGAGGACGGCAGGGACACATAAAAGGTCAGAGAAGCCTGTCGGGTTACTACTCCCAATCCCTCCCCACACAAGCCCATCATGCTCCTGAGCAGGTCAGAGCACAGTCCCCCTGTAAAGCAGGTCAGGGACC